CCCTCTCGCTTCTTTTCCATTCTGGCCTGTTCAGTGACTGAAAGGACGTCTATTAGCAATGGCTCTGAGAAGATACAGCAGGTCCGCATGGCTCAGAGCAATCCTGAACATTCCCTCCTGGCCATGGCTGGAGTCTGGCTCTTCCCCACTGCTACACCCAGGGCTGCACCACTGCCAGAGTCATCTATAACCACGCGCGATCCAGGTCTGCACCAAGTAAAGTGATTCTGTCAATCATGAATTTAAACAAATCAAACCAGGGGTGATGGGTTCAAACTGGAACAGGGGAAGTTCAGGTTAGATCTAAGGCAAAAGCTCTTCCCTGTGAGGGTGCTGAGGGGCTGGCACAGGGTGCCCAGAGAAGCTGTGGCTGCCCCATCCCTGGCAGTGTTCAAGGCCAGGCTGGACAGAGCCTTTGGCGACATGGTCTAGTGTGAGGTGTCCCTGTCCATGGCAGGGGTTTGGAACTGGATGATCTTAAGGTCCTTTCCACCCCAAACCATTCCACGATTCTATGCTGATATGCCACACTGCAGCCCAAATCACAGCCATCTCTGGGACACAGCACAGCATCTGCTGTAGAACCTTACCTCTTCTTCTAACAAGGAGAGGAAAGAAAAGGTACCTCAGCTGGTGAAAACTAAGACAGCATTACTAATTGCAGTTCACTCATGTTCAAACTGCTATTCAGTGACATAATACACTGTAGCTGAAATGTGGAGTTTGACTTATGTTAAATACTATTCTAACCTACTTTAGGGAACATTGAATTGTAAATATTGGATATTTGTTCTCAATTAAAAGCAGAACTCATTCTCTTCTTTCCTCTCTTGAATTTCTAATAATCCTCAGTCTCTAGAGAAGTCTGTACATGAGAGAAATAATCTGGTAATCAGCTACCAGAAGGAAATAAAATAGGAACTTGGGTTAAAACCAGTGGTACTGGCTGTTAAGCAATGCTGCAGAAAAGAGCTGAGCATCTGACAGATTAAATAAAGAACAACCAACCAAACAACACCCCCCCCAGAACAAAACAAAACTGAGGGGACAGCAATTAGTACCATTTTTATTATGATTTTTAGATTTCTAGTAAATATAGAAAACTTGAATATTGAAAATGAATACGTGATGGTAAGATGAAATACTGGAATCTGGGTACCAGGAAGGTGTGATATTTACTCCAGCAGAAAAGCTAACTGCAGGAATCTGCTAATGCAGGGGCGATAAGAAGCAAGACACAACTAACGTGACCTAAGAGAGCTAAGGAGAACAAATAGAACCACGTCAGAGAGGAGAGTATTGGGAACAAAATAAACTTAATAAATCAAGAGTTTGAACCAACGGAGGGTTGTGAAACGGCCGCACCATGGAGCAAAACAGCTTCTCAGCAATCAGTCTTCATCAGAGCATATAAAGGAAAGCATGAAGTGCTTTGAACTGGGGAGAGAAGTAGCATCATTTCTAGCCCCTCCAGAACTCAGTAGCAGTAGCTCTTTCTCAGTACAAAAGGACTTCTCCCATGTTATAAGAACTTCTTCCACTTAATGCAACTTTGCTGACAGAGCTTAACACCCATCTCAACGTCACTGCTGCCTTCCCAGCTTGGACTGACTCACATCAAAACTGGGCAAAGACAGCAAAAAAGTAAACTGAGGATGCACATTTTGCCACTCATATACATCAAGTAAAATAATTCACTTAGTTTCCTGCTGTTTGGATGGAACATTTGCTTTGCCCACAGCGGCTAACCTGCAGTGGGAAGATGGACTGGTTCTGCTCTCCCCCAAAGACCTCTCCCCATCAAGCTGTATTCATCCTTTACATCGAAACAACATATTAATGCTCAGAGAGGTGTCCCTCTGCTACAGCCCCAAATAAAACTGCTTTTAGCTCCTAGCAGCTTCCAGGCCCCACGCTCCAGCTATTGCTAGGTGACAGTTGCTATTTTTAAGCAGATTCTCACAGAGTAACTTCATTCACTGTGGATTGACACCAGGCCTCAATATGCTGCTGGAGAAAACCATCACTCCTGCTCAGCCCCACCTCAGCTTTCACAGCAGGTTGTGGAGACACCGTGATTAAAAGCAAGCACTCCGCTATTTTATGCTTCCAGTTGTGGTTACCCAACCACGTTGCCATGCATTGATCATGCTGCCAGCCATTGCTTGTTTTAGGGGAACAGCCACAGCCACACATCAGAATTGGGGACCCTGGGTGCCAGACAGGCAATTAACATCCAGGATTTAATGGTTCAGTAGGGGCAGGACATGACCAACACACCAGA